AAGACTTTATTGAAGTTCTGTAGCAGCTGCACTACAAACCGAAGCTGTTACGCTGTGCCAAACGGTTATCCCTGAGCTAAAGATATCTGCAAAACATCTTTGATGTGATAGACTGTAATGGAAACAAGGCAACAGTTATAGGTTGGTTTGCCAAAAATCTATACACAAAGGAGTTTTCCAAGTAGGTCAGTAAGTTATGCATTTCAGCAATAGATTCTATTAATAAATTGGCTCCACTATGCATTACAAAGTGTGCCTGCCTGCCAGGTGTGAAGTAGTTAGCAATTGTGGGCTGACATATGGCTTCCAGAAAGGTGAGTTCCTGCAAGATTAGAAAGTCGGCCCCATAATCCTCTGAGGCATTGTAAGGGGATGTAGGTTCATTTCTTCTAAGTTGCATTGGGAGCAGGCCTTGTCAGAATGCAATGCAAGCACCTAATGGAGTCTGCCATTGCCCTCTGCATAGCGCAGCAAAGCCCTTGAGTTAGCCTTGGTATGCTATGCACCTGCCAAGAGTTTCTGAATTATAAGAATTGTGCTAGTTTCATGGCATAATTACTAAATTGCAACATTAACATTATAATATAAATGAATGTTTATACTAGAATTTATTTTTGCCACTCATCTACAGATACCTGTTTTATAGAAACCTTTCATGTTTTTCTACATCAAAAATATTCCATTTTTTCCTTCACCTGGTTTCAAGTGGTATACTTCTTTGCCAGTGTTCATTTATTTCACAAGCTTAAATTGAATATAGTGTAAGAGAATGAAGACTGACATGTGGAGAACAATGGTAAAAATGAGATTTTATTTTTGTTTGATTTGTGGTTATTTATTTATTTATTTACAGTATTTTATTCCTGCCTTTCTCAGCCCGAAGTTGACTCAAGGCGGATTACAAATTAGCAATTTGGTGCCACAACAGTCATAAAATACAATTAAAAACATTTAGCACAATATTATAAAAACCATATAAAAACCATTAAAAACATATAATTACCAGTGTCTTCCTGTTAAACTCATTTTGCTAGTAGCACCATCTAGCCATTCCAAGTTCAATCTTTCATAGTTCCATGTTTATCTATTACGCTGCATTTCCAAATACTTGTTCGAAGTGGATTTTTTGGAAAGTCAGGAAGGAGGGAGCTGATCTAATATCCCTAGGGAGGGAGTTCCACAGCCAAGGGGCCACCACTGAGAAGGCCTTGTCTCTCGACCCCACCGGACATGCCTGTGAAGAAGGCAGGATCTAGAGCAGGGCTTCCCTAGACAAACTTAAGTTCCTAGATGGTTCATAAGGAGAGATACATTCGGACAGGTAAGCTGTGCCGGAAGAAGATACTCATTCATTGTTGTTTGAACATTGTATTCCTTCTTGTAGACATAGGTCCTTTATATGGGGTTCTTTCTGGGAGTAACAGGACCTTGTTTTCCTTTTATTCTGTATGTAGATTGCATTCATGTTACAGGTGTTTGAGGCCTGAATCATATCCCTTAAAATGTATAATATGACATAAGCCATAATGACACAAGCCAACAGATGGAATGTTACACCACAATTGCTAGTTCTTTCAAATAGGGGTTTATTATATGTACATTACAATATATTACAGAGATTTAGAATATGTCTTGTCTTTCCAAAAATTAGTATAGGAAAGTGGGATGTTAATTTTTTTTGGACCTGTGCTTGCATATGAAAAAGGCAGTGTGAGGTGAGCAAATTGTGATTGCTGAGGATGAATTGCTTATAATTTCCCATCGTTATTTTTTCTGCATAATGCAAATCTTTCGGTCACTAAATATGGCAGGTACTTACCTGTTATTGAAAAGATGCATTTGATTTCTGTGTTTCTTTGACTCTTCACATGTCAGACAAATTATATGTTATTACAAAGATGAAATATTAAGCAAGGATCATGAATTCCTAGGCTTTTAATGGAGGCTGATGCAATAGAGATAAGAATATGAAGTGGCCAGAGCTGCTAATTTCCTGAAATGTGTAGAGATAATGAATGAGGCTCTTCTAAAGAGAACAATTTAGAATTGTGTGAAGATGTATCACTAGGGCATACACAATATGTTTTCTCAGTTCATAATAAAGGAGAACAGATGATGGTATTTAAGAGAACAAAAAAGTTTGAATGAATGTTAAAAAAAATTAAATGATTAATGGCTATTTCCAGATGATATAATATTTCATGTCTCCCTCACTTTAGGAATATTAATTTACAAGTACAGTTCACCTGGTCATTTTGTACCCTTTTTAGGTACAACTTTTAGTAGATCTCAATTACAGGATATTTCCTGAAATAAGTATTTAATTATCAGTCACATTCAAACATGTAAAAGTAATACACACAGTGGTGTATGTGTCTGTTTCTTTCTCTGTATATAATATAATGATAGTCCTTTTAGACAGTGGACAAAACATCTAACATTGACCCAATATAAGAAATGATTAGGCACAAAGTAGCATTCCCCTAGGCCATTTTGAAGCTTGTTTCAGATTATTTTTCTTTGGTTTTTTCCAGTTAGGAGCAAAGATAGATCCTTTCTCAAGGTAGCAGAGGGAAGACATCAAGACAGCAAGTCTTGAATCCATATCTGCAAAATAATTTGTTCTTACTTTGTTCCTGGTGCTGTTGAAACACACAGCGACCTTCCATTTTCAAAGTGAAATCTCTTCTTTAAGGCTTTAATGTGATTTAAAAAACCGAACCCTTTTGACCGTGTTTTTTAGGGGGGGGGGAAACGTTTTTGTAATCTGTGTCCTGAATTGCAATTGGATGTGAGTGGGGGCTTGGGTGTTTGCAAGGTGGTTATTTAAGTCTGGCCACTGTAGTGATGCCGTTTTTTAAAAGTTCAGAGTAAATTCAAATGACCTAAAGGTAGAAGGGTTTCTGAAATATACAGTGTCTGTGGATGCCAGGAATTCTTTGAAATCCTTCCTACCCTGAAGTTGAGGGCTATTCCATTGAAAGGGGAATATTTAAAGACTTAATTCAAGTAAACACCTTTTCTTGGACTGGCTAGCAAGTCTTGGAAAGTAACAGGGTTTTATCTCCCTTTAAACTGAAGGAAAAGTAGGACACATTGTGGAAATGTGGGAGTGTGGTTGGGGAGTGGGGAACATGAATGACATAACAAATAAATTTTACTTCAGAAATAGGTGGACTCATGTTTGGTTTTCATTTAGTATTGGACAAAAAATTAATAGAGTATTGACATTCACTTATCAACTTTTTGTTTATTTTCTTTTAAGACCAGATAGCTTACAGTATAAAAAAGTAAAATTCAGTCTCAAATTATAGAAACACTTGGAATGTAAACAATTTACAAAGGGAAGAGCTTAAGTTAAACACAACACCAAAATCCAGTGTGGTGAGAGCATGACAAATTCTCCTTTTCTTCCTTTCTGCTTTGCCCTTAACCCTAAGAGCTGCTACAGAGTTGACATCAGAGGGATTTCTCACCCCTCTGGAGAGCAGGTTTTGAATGCGTATAGTGGGCAGTGGGCTGCAGTGAAAAGGGGAGATTATCTTGATTCTGCTGGATTCCACTGTTCTGCTAGTCAGAGCCCTCCACTGGATTCTGCCCAACATATCTTGAGTGCAATCGTGTGCACATTTACCTAGAGTCTGATTGAACTGACTGGTATTACTTCAAAGTATACCTATTGATGATATAATGAAACTGCAAATGACAGAGGGTGAATTTAGTTTCTGTTATCTGTAGTTGCTATTGAATATATCCCATTGCTCTTTTATTACGCTTCCCCCTCTGTATGTCTTTTAAAGTCTTTAAGATAAAAGATTCGTGAAGGCGCTATTTATTTACTTACTTTATTTATGCCCCACCTTTCTCCCTGTGGGAACTCAAAGTGGCTAAAATTCACATGCTTTGGTCACAATTCGAAACAAAGCAAATACAATTAAAAATCCATTAAAGAATACAGTGTGGATTTAGGTTAAATACAGTTAAAAAAAAATACACTTAAAATAGCATTTAAAACTCACAATGCTACATGATAATAATACTGTGTAGCAGTGCCTGATAAATAGATTAAGGCCACTTTTTCTATGCTTTCTGTACTACTTGGAATATATGTGAGAGAAGGCATAAGTATGAGACTTAGCATATATATGCATACCTACATACATACATGCATACAGTCATGGTATATAGAAATTAGGAACATGGGCTTTGAACACGTAAACATTAAACATTCTCTGTCAGTCAGATAGCTAGAGTAGTTCATGGCATTCAGGTCCTAGAATCGGTGTCCTGGTATGTAGTGCTACATGTCTGGCAAGCACATTGACATGTCGAGAAGACCTCTCCATATGAGGTTTCCAGTCCGTATTTTTGTTCCCCAACAATGATTCTTGGAATACGTGGTGATTAAATTATTCTGGGACGATTTATCATCATCATTAAATCTCCTTTTCAAACTTCAGAAGTCATTGGCTAATTACATTTTCATTATTTTATCAATTTTCTATAGGAGTAGCAGGCTATTTTATTTGTTGTTTGTTCCCAAAATCTCTTGGCCACAGACTCAGAGTGCCTATATGTTTTCACTTGCAGAATACAATATAGTACGGTAGATAAATGAAATTGTAATTGGGCAAATAGGTTGGTGAATTAAAATTTTAAAACCAGGTAATGCATTTCTTATACTTGGTGCTACACATATTCAACCAAAGACCACCTGCAGCTATATTTTAGAATTGAGTCGTGACAAGTCTGGAACATAACCTTGCATTTTCTGTAGGAAGATATATTATTACATTGCTTTATTGATTTATATCTAATATTACCAAACTGTAATTTATTTGTAATGCAGTTGAACAGTGCTGTAACCCTATTCTTAATGTATGTAAATGTTCTGTGTTCTCAGGGTAAGGAAGTAGATTGGGCTTTAGTGTCAAAGACTGCACTATTTTTCACAGGTTACTTCATTTCAACCCTTGTTTCTTTTCCTTTTCTTCTAACAGGTGGCTGTTCTTTTGATGAACCATTTACCTCATGCGGATATAGTCAGTCTGAAGATGATGATCTTAACTGGGATCAAGTCAACACACTGTTAAAGCCCTCATCGGATCCTTGGATGCCCACAGGTAGTTTTCATTGGATTTTAAAAAATGTTTTGTCTTTTAAAAATTATGTTACACAGATAAAAATTGAGCATGGTTTACAATTGTGTTAATAAATTTCAGTAATGATTGTTACAGAAAAGAAAAATGGAAAATAAGGAAATAAACAGAAAAAAACTGTACATTCTTATCAAAAAGGAAAGATAAATCAGAAGTGAGAATTGCATGTTTAGTTGACAGCATGCAACTTTCTTTTCTTTCCACATGCAGCATCCAACAAGTCATCCAAAACTTAATGTGGTCTTTAATACCCAAAGTACTCCAGTAAGAGATTAATAGAATGTTGTGAAACAATTCGGTTAAATCATAATTCAGACTTCTTAAAAGAATGTAGATCATAATCTTATGCATCTCTGAGTACAGTTCTTTTCTGCTGCAGTTGGCTGCCAGTGTGGCATTGATTTTAGATCATAGATTGTAATCATAGATTGCTGTGCAATCACATTCATGTTTTGTTTGAAGAAGGTTCAGTATTCTCATTTACTCTCATGTATGCCTAGACCCAGAAATACAATTGCACAGCGTTATTTGCATTTGACCCAAAAGCTGCTTTTATTTAACTCGTAAGCTGCTTTGAATTCCATTTTTGGAGAAATTATACATATAATGAATGTCCCACTAGCTTGCGGGTATTTGTGGCCTGCAGGCCTCCTGTCCATCTTTGACAAACAACATCTATGAGATACTTTACATCTGTATTTAAATTAAAACCTGTGATTTGAGTGTCTCTTTTGGTGTAAGAGCCTGTGGTTTTTGCTAGTTTGTTGCCAATCTTGTTGCAGTGAAGCATAATTGGGTTCAGTGTGTAAACAATCTCCAAGTTTCATTAAACAATCTAATCAGTTAGAGATCTGTTGAAGTAGATTCAAGTAGATATCCTTCTGAAGTTTGTTATATGTTTAAGATAATATCTATTTGAATCAGAAACGTGATAGACATTATGCATAAGGTGGGAGGTACAAGATTGCCTTAAAGCCGGCTTCCCAGTATTATCAAAGTAAGAAAACTATTTTTGATAAAAAAAAATATAATACAGTAATTGATAAATTTATGGAACTAGGTTTTGTGGTCTGGTGGAATCCAAATTCAGTAGTATCCTGTCCTTTCAATTATATTCTGAATATATTCGTGTATATATCAACATATATCAGCATATGATTTAAATCAGAGATTAAGATATATGGTATTGTTTATTAAGTCATTTTATGTTAAGTCTTAAGAACAATATCCTTTTATTTAGTTTTATGATTTAATGGAACCAGTGAATATAAACAAAGTTCATATTCTAAAATGGAATAGTTTATATTCAGTGAAAAAAATGTCTGATTTCAAATGGGGGCTGGAAGAACATGGGATAAATGTATTTAAATGTGGAGAACATTCTGTGCTGGGTTTCTACCTGCTTATTTCTGTGGGGGGAAAATAACTTTTAATCACTAAGACTCACTGTTGAAATAAAGGTTAAACCTAATTAAAAAGACGGTCTTGGTGGAGGGGGAAAGCATCTTAATGGCTTTAAAACAAGAGTCCACTATTAGAAAAAGGGCTCTAAGATCTGCTGGGATGGCCCTACTCTCGGTCTCACCTCCATCTGAAGTACGTCTGGTGGGGACGAGAGAGAGAGCCTTCTCAGTTGTGGCCCCCTGGCTTTGGAACGTCCTCTCTAGGCATATTAGGCTTGCCCTCACACTACAGTGTTTTGCAAGGCGCTGTCAGGCTTTTGGAAATGATTCAGACATCTGTTATTCTAAGGACCAAACAATATAATATTGACACTGGCACTTTAATGGTTGAATTTGTGCTGTGTCTGGGATGTTGTACTTTCCATTTTAATGCCAATTAATAATAAGTGTTATTGATTTTAATTGGGATCCGTTTTTATTTTTGTAATGTGGTGTTTTTATGTTAACTGATATTGTCATTGTCTAATATGTTGATGTGATTTTACTTGTACTTTATGTGGTTATGGCACTTGTATGTGCTTCTGTAAGCTGCCCCGAGTCCTTTTTGGGAGATGGTGGTGGGGTATAAATAAAGGTTTATTATTATTATTATTATTATCATTATTATTAATTATTAAAAATTCAGTTTGTGTAAAAGAAGAAATGGGAAAGTGTTGCTCCCAACCCTTTGCTAGCCTCTTCCCTGACATTTCCAAAATCCTTAGATCATGTACTTGAAAAAATCCTTCCTTATTGATAAATTAAGACTGGGAATGATGATTAACTCATTAAATGTCCCCTGCGACCCACTAGAAAGATCTTTTCTGGTCTGACCAATTTTTGGTCAACATATAGTAATGCGACCTGTCACACCCTGTTGCAGTTGCCAGACTCTATGACTGGAACTACACGGCCCTATAATCCAGTTTTAAAATGTAGATTTACAACATTGAACTGGAATATAGGGCAGTGTAGACTCATATGATTCAATTTCAATACAGTTAATCTGCATTCTGGAATTGGATTATAGGGCGGTGTAGATCCATCCTGCTCTAAATTAGAAGGAAATGATCTTTATTAGCATGGATTGACACTGTATTATCCCATTAGTAGAATGGAATATTACTTCAGGAATAATTTTATTTGATCATGGTTAGATATGTAGCCATACAGAAAAGTTTTAATTAGTTTGAAGTTGGGAGAGATACAGCAAAATTTTGTCTCTATATGCTAAATTCTATGATAATAAGAAGTGCGTTTTAAAGTTATGATTCATGGATCATCCTATCTTCCTCAGAGAAACACTTTCTGCAAAATTATTATTAAACTAGATAAAACATTCAGTGAGTCCAATAATTTCCTGTCAAAAACAAAAGGAAATCACAGTGACATTCCTAATTTCAGACACTGTGCTTCAGTGAGTGAATTAATGACAGTATGTAATGTTTCACGATCAATTAGGCAATATTAGGAAAAGTACAAAACATAGTTCTTTATTTCTGTTTTATTTATTTTAATCTAGATACGTATTTCATGGTTGAAGAAGATCCATCTATCTTTTTGTACATTTTACTTTATTTCATTTTGATTGTATGTCTTACAGTGCAGTGCCTTATAGTTCCTCTCATTTATCCTGATAATGTACAATCCCATTAAGAGCCTGCTGACATTCCTCTTCCATTCTTTACAATATGTTTCTTTATTATGCCACTCACACAGGTTTTTCCCATATGTATTGTTTGTGTGTTTTTGGCCAGTGGCCTTTATTTAATCTGTACAGTAACCTGAATTTGTTTGGGATCAAGCATGGATATCAAATGGAGCCTTATCTAAAATACATTAATGCAACATTCATGACAATTATGACTTAAGGGCCAAGAAGATTCGACACTCATAAAGCTCCATTGGAAGAGTAGGAAAAGACGTTACTGTCTTGAGAGCATAGATGTTGAAAAATATTCCAAAGAAATTCTGTCAACTGAAATTCAAGGCTCTTCATTCTCCAACAACTCTGAGCGAATCATTGAAATGAAAACAATGCTTACTGTTCAACTGGGACACAAAATGTGTAAAGAATTGGCAAAATATGCTACCACTACCCTAGTGTTGGACTGGAAATACTTGAAATATTTTACTAATCCACTGCAGAGTGAGACACTTTCTGTCATGAGACGTATCATGAACCACCATAAAGGTGGTGAAATTGCCTTTTTTTATTCTGTGTACTTTTGTTCCAAGAACAGAAAAAGTGGAGTCTTTTAAAATCAGCTCCCTTTATCAGTCATGGGATCTTCAACATAACTCACAGCTGAAGCTGTCCAGCCGCAACATGAATGTCCTCCTTACCGACATAGAGAGACTCTGTCTTCTGTTTATAACAAAATTAGGGGATTTTTATGAGTCCCTTAAGCCAGATAAAAGGACTGGTTGAGGATGATCATAATTATATTATACTGCTGCAGTGTTTCAGTAGTTGGACATTTTTGTGAGACTTCTTAATTTTTGAAAATTGACCAGCAATTTTTTATCAATATCGGTAAATCGCTGATTCCCTTGTGAGGATTCCCTCCCACAAGAATTCTGCAAGGGCTGATAATATGGTGGTAGGGGTCAATATGCAAAGATTACTGGAAATGCAGACTGCAGCCAGGAAATCAGAAGAGGTTTACTTTTAGGGAGGACAACAATGACCAATCTCGATAAAAGAGTTAAGAGTAGAGACATCACACTGGCAATGAAGATTTACATAGTTAAAGCAGTGGTATACCCCATAGTAACCTGGGTGTGCAAGAGCTAGACCATAAGAAAGGCTGAGCAAAGGAAGATAGATGCTTTTGAACTGTCGTGTTGGAAGAAAATTCTGAGAGTGCCTTGGACTTAAAGAAGACCAAACTAGGCCATACTCCAGGAAATAAAACCCAATTGCTCACTGGAGGGAAGGATATTAAAGGCAAACATGAAGTACTTTGGCCACATAATGAGAAGACGGGAAATTTTGGAGAAGAGAATGATGCTGGGTAAAATGAAAGGAAAAAGGAAGAGGGGCCGACCAAGGGCAAGATAGATGGATGTTATCCTTGAAATGATGGCTTGACCTTGAAAGAGCTGGGGGTGGCCACCGCCGACAGGGAGCTCTGGCGTGGGCTGGTCCATGAGGTCACGAAGAGTAGGAAACGACTGAATGAATAAACAACAAGGGGTCGAGAGGGAGGCTCCTGAGTCAAGGCTTAAAAGAAACTTTGCAATAGCCGAACTTATCTAACCAAGTTAGGATTCTTCTGGATGAAATGAAGGCTTCTTCTACTATGTGGTACTTATAGTCGATAAGCAGATAATTTTGAAAAAAGGTATTGTACTAAATAAAAGCAACTCATGTCCCTTGCTGATTTTTTTTACCAGTGCCTTCAAAAATGATATCAAAATAAATAGTTTGCTGAAACGGAAGATTCTATCTACCAAGCATTTACCCATATTGAACTAAGGTTAGGCAGAGTGTTTGCATATTTTATTCTAAAGGTCCTA